AAATGATTTGCGAACTGTGCGATTATAAGTGATTTGTTTTGCTCTCAAAGATACCTGATAATTTAATGATTGTCGAAAATCAAGTCCTCGGACAAAAAACCACTGGTTTGTCTGTAAAACAATGAGAGAAGTGTATTTACTACAATAGATCACCTTAAGAAACACTTATACTACATTAAACCTAACGATCACAGACCGACCATCGACTGACCAGTCAATAATCACTCGTTCGACTCCGACTCGCATCGCATAAATCAAACCCCTGCATTGACCAATCAGCCCATCCATTCAACAAAGTCACTACTCCATTTTCGAATTCAAAGTGAATGACCGCTGTTTTGTTTGATAGCAGATTCTCTTGCGCACTAAACACAAAAAAAGTACAAAAATATGTTGTACAAAGTCGCTAACAATTTATACTTTCCCCGAGTTGAGGCTAACCCTGTATTCCCAGAAGACTTAAACCTTGGTTTTTTTGCTTTGAATTCGAAAGTGGAGTATTTCTAAGTATACATAAGCATTTTACCGTTAGGTTGGATTTTGTCGGATCCCTTTCCATGTTATATGTAACATTGTACGATGTGATAGAGCTGTAGTTGAATACTGGCCTAGACCAGGTGATATTGACAGCAAAAAAGTCTGATGACGAAAATGACGACACACTACGTTGAATCTTCTTAATGCTTGTATCTTTGAGTGGGACGTCTGATTCAAAGATAAAAGTCATAGAATTATGCTCTCCTTGAGATTGCAATCCTTTATCGGTGCAAATTTTTTTTATATCTATTTACCATTAATATTTTCTATCTATCTATCAATCATCATATTTCTAGTGTTACTTATAATGTACTATACACATATATATTATATTGTAGTTTATATTGTTATTATGCTCAGGGCTCCCATTGATAACAGATTGCTTTTTGCATTGGATGGGGCTACCCTGAGCGGTATAAGTTAATAAAGGTTTATCTATCTATCTAACTAGCTATATATTAAGGTAACTATTTCCGATATGAATACCTGGGGTTTTAAAAACCAGAGTCGTTTTGATTCCAACGTCTTTTTGACAGTTATCCAAGAACAAAGGTTGAATCTATGCACAAAACAGGAAAAAAATATGAATGCAATGCTGACATTGACAATGAAGATGAAATTGATTACGTTAAAGACGAAAGGCGAAGGGAACGTCAATTCCAATGACAGCTCTGCATGACAAGTTTAATGACAACGACATAGGTTCCCTGCGCCATCTTGAAAGGTAGCCGTCTCTTTGCATCGAAGCGAGACGAGTGTTGAGCGTGCAATGAGAAACCTTCTTTCACACCTACAGACAATTGTTAACAGGTTCCTATCATTGCATACTCAACGGTCGTCTCGCTTCGATGCAAAGGCTTGGCTAATTTTCAAAATCTCGCAGGGAACCGCAAAGGAGACTATATGATGTCTAGCCTGTGTACATCCGTTTCTCACCCCTCAAAAAATCGGGGAGAGAACGTCTGTGATTTGCCGTTGCTAATCGTGTTCTGAGGTCCTCAAGATTTTGAGGACGAATTTCATTGGCCGTTGACTTATGAGACTTGTGATTGGCCAAAATCAATAGATGGCGTGTAAAGTTGGTCACACGAATGAAATATATAAAGCCTTCATGGTAAACCACTGGAACATGTAGAATGCTTCAAATTGAATATGTTATTTGCTCTCAAATTCTCTGTAAAAGTTTAGGCTTTAATCTTATATTCGGTCAGGGTAAATTTAAAATTGATGTGGAATTATAATGTCAT